CCCACTGTCCATGTTTCACACCCGTACAACGTCGTGCACCAAACATACACCTTTAACAACCTTTTTCGAATTTCCAAATTAGCCATTCGCGAGAATAAAAGTGACTTCTTTTTATTAAAGGCGATACGTCCCTGCGCTATCCTCTGCTTTATATCCCTACTACTCCTTCCGTCCTGACTTATCTGACTTCTTAGATACCTAAAATTAGCCACTTCTAATCTTTGGTCTCCTATCTTTACATTCGCTCTGTCCCTACTTTTTCTTCCCTTGCATACGAGTATTTTTGTTTTACTTTTATTTATTTTCATACAGTACTGCTTTGTCAATACCGCTTCCAATTAGCTATATCTAAGTCCTCCTTGTTAGATGCTAATACTACTATATCATCTGCAAATCTAAGCATACTAATCTTTTGCCCCCGTATATCTATCCCTACAGTTGTACTGTCGTTAATGATGTTGATCGCGTCTTCGATGTATAGATTAAACAGTAGTGGTGCCATTTTGCAACGCTGTCTGACTCTCTTCCTAATATATACATTTTTATATATAATTATTAATAATCTTGTTTATTTAATTTTCCTTCATTTTCTTCTTTTCCCCGAATACTACCCCTATACAAATATATACGTTAACTTAATTTTAGTATACAAAAATATTTTACAGCCAAACATTGTTAAGTATCATACTATTTGAATTAACTTTTTTATATATACTTAAAGTTAACATTCCACTTAGAATTAAATTTCATTTACTATAACTGAAATCCGAGGTTTTAACGTTTTCAACGCCCCAGGCGCTCTAATAGATGTTAACTCTAATAAGCTGTTACAAGGCAGCCGCAGTAAACAAACCTCCCCTGCTGTTTTTGTTTTGACGTATTTTGTAAAAGAGGTTGCCTAGTTTGAAAACGATTTGTTTTAACCACTGATACGGCCCCTTAAGTTGTGTCGTTTTTTAGGAAGATGTTTATTTAAATAATAAATTCGAATTTTCTGATTCACATATTCTATTTTTATCATAAAATTTATCTTAAGATTCGTACCTCCAGTTGCCTAACACAACTAACGTAAGCTAGTCTGGATTGAATATCAGGTAGATTAGGAACTTTGACGTTTGAAGTGAATGGATTCCACCTTTTCCATAATAACCACCATCCTGATAGGTCATCGCCATAATTAGTCAGCTCCTGATCATCTACGGAACCCACATCAATCGCTAGAATATGATTTGCACCCAAACTGCGCATTACGTCGGCTATTAAAAATTTATTAAAAATTAATTTTCGAAAATTCGAATATTTCAATGCAATTTAAAACAACAAAATTTTTGAAATTTTTTGAATTATAATGGTATGTTTTATATAAAAAATGCCGAACAGTAATAAATTAGTAACTACTTGCTCATGTAATTTGTACTCAGTAAAAATTAAAAATAAAGAATAATTGACAGTAAATACTAATCATAAGTTCCTTTAAATTTATACTGTTATAGCAACGTAATTTTAAAAGATCGTGCTCCAATTGATAACCATTTATAGTGGTTTTTTATTGCTGTGCATCTATTAGATTTATCAAGACATGTATCANTAATAAAAACTATATAAAATACCTACCTTCTCTTAGAAAAAGCTTAACTAAAACTAAAAATAAAACCCCAATTACATGAAATTAAATAAGCTTTAAAATCTCAAGCCCCCGAGAAATAGTAATTATATCAAGCTTTTTATAAGAATAAAGAAACAATTCTGATTTTTGTTAAAACTATTTCAGGTTTTCAATTTTCTTGAAGGTATACTTCTTCTGGCGCTTTGTGAAAGACGAAAGTGCGTCATGCGTAATATGCATATGACATATGTGGCTAAATAAAATGTACGTAAGTATGTACACTTTGTTTTTTTAAAAATTTTAATTAAGTAGTTGAATCAGAAAAATTGTTTCTTTTAAAATTAATGTATTTCGACCACCGTATTGAATTATGAGCTTTATGTTAGGGGACATCCAATAATTATCTTATCTCTTTTAAAGGGAGTGGGGGAAATTGATAATCTCACGACAACTTTTTATAAACAAAATATATACATTATTGAAGTGAAACTTCTTTATGGACGGTAGGAAGGAAATTTACTAGGGTATAAAACCGAAATGCGTCACACTTCACGCGGTGGTAAATATGTCCAAAAGAATTCATTTTAACAGGCTTCAGAAGCTAATCTGTCAGTAGCAACCGATAATCCGAAAACAGCCATTTCGACAAATTGTCAGCAGATCGCACATACAAAAATTATATGTGCGTTTGTGTTTGTTTGTTTTGATTTGTAATTCCCCTCTGCAGTTTTATATGATACAATCGTAAAAGTTTTTAACAAAACTAAACCGTATTCCGCATTCATCCGCTAGTAATAAAGTTGTATTTTTCTGATTTTTAGTACAATTTTTAATACAATTTTTATAAAAAACTATTATAATATACTATCTAAAGAAGTTTCACTTTTTACCCGTGTACACAATTACACGCTCGCCCCTTTTTTTTATTTATTTTTTCGGGTGTCCCGTTTTTCCCGGGTAAACCTCATGTGAGAAGGAAAGGGACCCCTTCAAATCTTACCAAATCTCAACAAAGGGGTGGGAGGGGTCCAAATTGAAATAAACACTTCATGTAATTATTGGTCGCCCCTTATGATTAAACAGAATATATGCGTTATCATTAAAATAATGAACGGAACGAAATACAATAATTTTAAAGAGGTTACATGTTACATGTCAGTATTTACAAAAAAAAACTACATCATATAAAACACGTGACTTAAGGAATGAAAATGTTTTCTCAAAAGTGAAACTATTGATTCCGGCACAAAATCATTAATAAATACGTTGCTTGAATACATTATGTAATACTCAGTACTATCATTATTTGTTTTTGGGTTCTCTGGCCGTTATATTTGAAAATGCCTGTCGTAGTTGTAGGAGAAACGCTGGGAAATAATTTTCAAAGACAACGGGCAGAAAGCCCGAAAACAAATAATGACAGTACTGAGAACGCTGACTGTGAAAGCCTGCGTTTATGTATTAATTATTTATTAATTACGGGTTTAATAAGTCACATTTTAAAATAAATACTAGATTACCTGGTACATTATTTACATAACATCCGTCAACAAGCATATGTCCGTCGACGGGATCGCACATTGGTGGAAAAATGCCCACTATAGACATACTGCCTCTTACATATCGCCATAAATGACCTAGTGCACATTTTGAATATTTTCATTGTTCATATTAATTGGCCCTTAGTCTAAGGCAAGTTTGTAAGGACATTACATACTATAATACAACTAATTTGTGAATTCTTTAAACAAGCCCATTCATAGAAAATTTATTGCAAATAAATTTTGTTTAAATCAATATTATAAAAGATCCGTCGCAGAAAATTGAAAATAATAATTGTTCAAAATTTTAAAAGTAACAGAACATGGAAGAATGTATTTGCTATAAAAAACAAATTAGTATTATTTTATGGTGTCTTACCACTTAATATGTGCACGTATTACTATGCGAGTACTTTCAAGAATGTAACGGAAACACAACCAATAGTTGGGAGGGAGAAGCCGCCTACTATATGAACAGCACGACAGATTGTCATGCAGCTTACATTATGAGATTATTATTTTACTCTTTACCAATGTAAAATTCGCAATACTCATTTTAGAAACATAAAACAGAAACATTTTTGTATTTATTGCTTTGTTCAATTGCTTACAAATTTTTTTTTTTCAAAACAAATCTTATTTCTGGTTTCCAATGTTTTCAGTACATACATATCCTACAAACTTGTCTTATCCTAAATCAAAAGCCGTCCAATTTACAAGCGAACTTTTCAAAAGCTAGGTGCAAAAAAGCAACAGAAGATTACGAATATTGATAGATAAGAGTAAGCGGTTTGAACTGTACTGTGCACTCCTTTTGTGATTGGTTACCTCTTTGCTCTCGTACATAACATATATTTACCTTATTTCTTATGTGGAAGGGTTTTCCGAATGTCTTAATATATAATAGAAATAAACAAGCGATTGACGTACCTTTAAAAGTGGCTCTCCAAATGTATTGTGTGAAAAATGAAATGTTACCTGGCAGATTATTTACGTATCCTCCATCTAAGAGAAGATGGCCATCTGCAGGGTCGCACAGCGGGGGCATGTAGCCTGACAGAGACATAGAAGCCCTCACATATCTCCATAGAGATCCTAAGGAATACTTTTAGTAGTTCCTCGAATTGTGCGTGACAGACAATGAAAATGCAAAACAAAAATTTAACTAACATTTGAAATAATTTCACCACCTTTTTAATATCCTGTTTCCTGTAATCCTAAGTTCGAAGAAACATTCTTAGTACATTGGAGAACAAACAGCTCTGTTTAAAGTGATAATTCTACTGTATGCATTCTTATTCTTAATCGTCATAAAAACGCTGTAAAATACCGAAGATTATTTTTTTCTTTAATTTACTTCAATAAATAATGTAGGTACAAAAAACATTAATTACTCAAAACAAATTAGACAAACTTTGAAGCTGCTTTAAATAATAGTACACGAAGCGTTATTTTGTGCACAGTTTCAAAAACATAAAAGTACACTCACATGTCAAGTAACTCAATAAAAATAATAATAAAACTATGACAAACGCTGCTACCTTTAACGTTAAATTGCAGAGCAACTACATCCAAGTAACATTTAAATATTGTACAACTTTAACATAACTTAATTTGATGTTAAAATTGGTGGAACTCAGTAAATATACCCTTTTCATTCATGTAATTGCAAGAGTTGAAAAGAAATTTTGCATTTAATTATTCGATAAGGCATAATTGCACCCATCACTAATTAATATCAGAATTTAGTAGCTTGTTTGCGCCGTACTGTTGTTAATGCCCTCCAATTCTATGGCATAATTGCAACCTTATGAACGAATATTTATCATTTTAACAAAATTGAAATTTTAGAAAAACTGTTTTATATTTAAGCTTTTAAAAATAATGGTTATGGGGTAATACAAAATTTAGGGATTTTGTTGATGGGGCGCAATCATACGTGTCCCATTCATTTCACCTAATAGCAATGGAACAGTTGTTTGCTAATGTCATAAAAAATAATTCACAATTTTAACAAGTAATTCTACGGGGGTAGATTATGTATAAACCGGGAGTAGTTTTTAATAATTTTATTGGCACAATACGAAAATTTTTGAATATATCTTATTTTCCTTCGTAACCTTCCCTTTTAGTAATGCATTTATCTCAATGGATTAAAAGAAGTTTTCTAACGTCGTTATCGAGAAATTAATGTGGTCGTGTCTCTCGTGTTATCAAAATAAAAAAGAAAGAATAAAGAAAGTTATTCTTTAAGTAGCCCAAAAATATTTTAATTACATGGTGACAAGTCCAGAGCACAGACCGGAATTTTAAGTATTTTCCAACTAATTGTTTGGAGTTTTTCTTGGGTCAAGGCAGTTCATCCCTTTTTTATCGAGATTAAACCTAAGAACACAAAAAAATGTTCCGACCAAAAAAGTTGTTTTTTGGCATTTGTTTAAAAAACCGTGATTTAAACAATACCCGACCGGGTTACTGTCTGGCAACCTACACTGTTCTATTTAACAAAATAAAAAAAAAACAAAACTGCCCAAAAAAATTTAATTCGAATAATTTTGGCCACTCACCCGTCCATATTGCCTAGAAGCCTAGACTATTAAATATACACCGCTCATGAACAAAATCAATGAGCAGTAAACCACTGCAATCACAGAAAACAGTGACAAGAATTATGCCTGCAGAAAAACAAGTTTTGGCTTTTCGAGTGAAACTTCTCCAGATTTTTCCCACCCCATGCTAACTTCTTTAGATTTCAGAGTGTAAAATGAAGAACCCACAAGGAGTAGCGAGGTACGAGCAGAGGGGTAGCTGCCCCCCCCTAGAAGATGCAGGAATACTCACAAAGTAAGTAAAATAATATTACGCAGCTAGCCTATTAATAAACAAAAACAAAGTTGATTCTAATGACACGCGAATTTTATAAGACTGTACTATGAATGGTTGAATCTAAATTTGTTTTTTTACGCGCGAAACTGTTTTGTGGATGTGCCCGTTAAAAGTATAGAAAATTATATATAATTGAATAATAAGGAAGAATAGAAATGGATATAAGGAAGTTCTTCAAAGGTAAGTAGTATTTTGTAAGTAGTAATATAGGCGCAGACAGCAGTTGGAGCCAGCGGTGGTCGGCGCGGAATTTAAATCCGTTTTATAAGTCACGTGACCATGATGAAGCTAAGCTAATAATTTTTATTACAAATGACAAACTATGGTATAAGAAATTGCTGAACAAGGGTATGACCAGAGAAGACCTCGAAAAACTAGATTTTAGTGAAGTGTTAAAGGAGGCGAACATATTCTTTCCCGCAACAAAAAAAACAATACTTATTTCCTTGGCACAACCTTACACTACAAGTAACATAGAGAGGTCCTTTTCTACACTGCGTCTTGTTAAAACATGGCTGAGATCAATGATGACTGAAAACCGTTTGAACGACCTATGTATGCTCAATGTATACCGAACCATGGTACAAAAAATAAGGATATAATAGAATTTGAGGTGTTAAAACGGTTTGGAGAAGAACCTCGTCGACTATTTTTTTTGTAAAATAAATTCACTGATAGTTATATTTTGTTTTTCATTTTTAAGGTAACCTGTCCCATTTTAACCGTTTTGATGACGTCCAAGACACATTCATTTTTCGATAACGATATAAAAAAACTTCAATTCCATTGGGGATATGTATTGCTAAAGAGAAGACTACATAGAAAAATAAAATGTATTCAAACAGTTGCTTACTGTGTTAATAAATTTAATAAAAACAAATTCCAATTTAAATTTGATTTACCTAATAAATTGAAAAAGTAATAAGCACCTACTATTGACTGAGCGTTAAAATCGTAGAGATAGCCAGAGACAGCTAGTAGCAACATCGGTTTACTTACTTATTATTCTGTTATGGATTGATTTTCTGTGTAGAAAACATTTTAACAAATTGGAAGCCTTATAGAGTTAATAAATTATGGGTTTGGAACGTACATAGAATAAAATTATTTATGGATCGGCCGCTTTCTCTGACCTAAGCCTTTTTAAGTAATTTAAGAAGTCTTAATGAAATACCGAGTCTATAAATATTAAACTAATCATTAAAAAAACGACTTAATAAACTCAAGAAGTTAACCAATCACAACAGACAACATGCACATTTTAAATAAAAAATGAAAACAACAGTTTTTGATAAGCGCAAAGTGCGTATGTAGTGTGACAAGAAACTAGCGATTTGCGCGGTTAATCATTCCAGTGCTTAACTAACTACACAGTGGAAGCAAAATAATAAAATAGAAGAGAAACAGATTTCCAGACCATAACGTCTCACATTACAAAAGATGACCTATTAAAAAAAAAGGTAAATAAATTTTTCCCTCATTAATTTGAGGTAGGGTGTAGTGGGTAAAAAATTCAAAAATGAATTTTCAGATTAATATTTCATAAATAAATATCGTTAATTTTTTTTCTTTAGCAAAGTAATTCGAACATACAGAACGAGTAATTCAACCAGAGCAAAAACAATAAAAAACAGTAGTATGTAATAAATAGTAAAAACCACAACTAGACACATCTCGATTTTAAATTATCCTTTCCAAAACAAATTAAGTATTATCATTTCGATTTGTAGAATTACTTGATTTTTTATTTGTGTTCGCAACAATTAAAATCCATTACTGCTTAAAAGTTGTCGAGTATTATTTTAGGTTAGAAGCTGTGTAGATAGAAGGTTTTGGTGTATTTATTTTTTGAATTTTGCACTTTTTTAAAAAACTACACAAACTAATCAGTTAGTGAGCGTTATGGTCTAGAGGTTCTAGAAGTAAGGACTGATAACGATTTTGTATATTAATTTATAAAAATTCAACAATATCTTACCATGAGTATGGATTCGCATACAAGAAGCGCTTATATCCGTCGTAACTGTAAAGTACGGTAACCACAAATCTTCAATGAACGTTTCGCCAATTGTGCTTTTGATGGTTTGATTAAAATCGCGTCCACTAAACATCGATGTTACAGGGTACGTAAGATCAAGAATTTGCCTCCACCATTGCGTCATTTTCTTACAGAAAAATATAAGCAATAAAATCTTAAAATGTTGATATATATATTTCATATTTATAGTACCTTTGCCCATTCACGAGCTTTTTGAGTTACAGTGGTAATGTCCTTTTCTATACTCCACAGAGCGCCCATTAGAGCACCAATGCTTACACCTCCAACCATGTCAATAGGAATACCGGCTTCCTAAGTTGTAAATAATTTTTTTAATTTTTATTATTGTTGTAAACCATTCATTCTTGAATTTTCAATTTAATGAATCGTCAAATAAATTTAACAAAAGTTCCTAGTATTCCTACTGTTTCCATTTAACTTATTTTTACTACTTTTAATTATTTTTTATCATCATAATTCATTTACTGAAAATTTTTTATTCTAATAAATTGGTTTCTATTATTTTTCATTATATTTTGTCTTAATTTCTTTTTATCTTATATTTTTAAAAATACACTGACTAATTCATATACATATTCAAGTAACACTGAATCAAATAAGCTGATGACCTAAGTAAATACTTTCTGCATAAATGTGACAAAAAATAGTACACGCACCTCGGGAAGGAGCACATACTTAGTGTTTGTAATTCATACATGGTCTGTAATAGCTTCCTTCACTAATGTTATAATGGCCAAAATAGTATTAAGCTTAATATATTATTTGTGCACCCGTATAATTAGATTTAACAATTCAAAAATTAACTTTAGAAATTATAAGAAAAAAATTAACATTGATTTTAAAGTAAAATTATTATAAATATATGACAAATGTTGGCTGTTTTATTAAAATATATAAAAAATGGCACACATCAAAATAAAAATTTGAATATTAACTAACCTGTATTGCTTTTATCATTCCGATATGTGCAGCTCCTCTGGCTCCACCGCCCCCTAAAACTAATCCAACTGACTTTCCAGTTAACCAACGCGCCAACCTTGAGAAATCGGAATGGATACTGGGTTCTGACATGCATACTTTAGAATACAATTCATTCTGTAACAACAGCAGCTTAACTATTCAGAAGAACATTTTTATTGAAATAGTTTTACGTACGATTCGGTAAAGCGATTTTCTCGAAAACATTCTTTTTGAACATTGAATATGATGATGCCAAGAGATCCAAGTTCGCATATTTAACCAAGCAACCGTGTTTGACGGTTTCGAGCCTCCTTCCCGGTGAAGCAGAACCAGCTCTTTCTGAGTTCGAACAGCGAGACGTTCAATTTCTTTCTCCACCTTTAAGAAAACGTGGAAAATTATTAACAGTGGTAGAGGCATTTAAAACTCAAATAGATATCAAAATTACGAATTAGAATCCACACTAAAATAGAATAATGTGGCAAACATATTTCATTTCTTTCATTTCTAATAAAATCAAAATCAAAACCACGAATTTTTGAAAAGGTGGTAAATCTAAAACAATGAGCAGAAGATTTTAGAAAAATTGTTCTCATTGATTAATAAACTTTTACCTTTCCAAGACTAGGGGGATTATCACCAAGTCCGACTATCAGGATACAATCAGCTTGTCTAATACACCTTTGAGTCCACGCGCTGAAAGTTAAATCACACTGATAAAGAGCAATTTTGTGCATATCCTCTTGTTGGGCCAACCACGAGGTGAGCCTGTACTCGTTACTCGGATCAGTTATGGTAGCACCCAGGGTTTTTTTTATAACATCAGAAGTCAGTCTTAATGTTGGTCCTACATTATCAAAAATTAATAATGGATAAAAAATTCAAAACGCATCCTTAAAGCGTTACCTATGGCACATAAACAATGATATAGTTCGTATGTGAAAGCGGTTAACGGTACACTGTCAGAAACGGCAACGATTGCAACCGTGGAAAAATTTATTTGTGATGGACGACTTTCCACTGCTGCGTTGCTCTTTTGAGTGAGGCTGATGCTTGATTGTTGCCAAGAACCTATGGAGGAATGTTGCATAAATACTCAAAAAAAATAGGATAACATTGAATACTAAAAATAACTCTGCGTTTGCTTATCTGATTGTGCATTTTACTTTTTGAAAATCCTAATTTAAAATTTTTGCATAGATGTAGATTTAATGGATCAAAACTGTTTAACATTAAAAGGCATTTATTTATTTGTTTATATTTTCCTTGAACGTGAGAGTTCATTCTAAAGTTTAAGTAATAAGTACATTTATAAATTTAATAATCCGAACAAGTGCAGTTTCGTAGATTCCCACGGGTGTTTCTCACAATAAAACTTGAGATTCTGGGTTTGTAGTTTGTCCATTGCTGACGTTTTGCCGAATTATTCTATATCATATCAGTCCTGAAGATGTACATGAGATCGAAGGCAAAACGTGGGTAACTGACTTTTAGCGCGGTGCAAACCCAAGGTCTAGAGTTTCACTATAAAAAAATTTTGGCATTTACCTAAAATCCTGTGACCTAATAAATTTATCAATCTCGTAACGACAACTGGAAATCGTAATTTTATTGCATTAAAAAGTCCTTCCGGCAGCTTTGCTAATTCTGAATCTCTTACAGCCATCACTGTTGTACTACGCTTTGTGTGAGTGACCATTTCAACCTGAAAATTACCTATTTTTATTTAATCTATTGATTTTTAACAATTCTAAATCTCACAATTCCGATCAAATCTCCTTTACCGTATTCTCCGACCAATTCCTTTTTACCATCACTGTGCGTAATTACAGATCGAAGTCGACCAGAAAGAACTATAAATGTGGAATCACCTTCGTCATCTTGTCGATACAGTGCCCTGCCTGATTCGATGAAGACCCAGTCCAAGGCAAAATCCACTTGCCTTACAAATGGAGATAACCTTCCCACCACCAAGTGGGCTATGTACAAAACCACTTTTGGCTTCTCTTTCATCATACTAAAATTCAATTTTAATTAAAACTTTTACCAGCGATGTTATTAGGAAATAAAAACAAATTTTTTAACTTGTTATACATATATATTTTTTGTCTAAAATTTCAAATTACCATCCATTTAAGCTATTTCTTTAATGACACACGTACGTACCTATAAAGAGTATTTGTAGTTATAAGTGCAATACGAGACAAATACTTTGCTCGGATAGTAAAAAAACTTGGTTCTCCGGTTAATACAGCTAAGCCTCCAACGATCTCACCCGTATGAGCATTAAACAAATGTATTTCTTCTTCTTCGTCGGTCATTTTTTGGGAAACTACCAAAGAACCTTGAAGCACATATACCAAAGCTACGTCCTAGAAAATTTGTTTCACAAAAAATACTTATACTGAATGTTGTTTAGCTTACTTTATTCGAGTCCTCCTTCATTAAATAAGTACCAGCCGCTACTTCTCTCACCTCAACTTTACCCTGAAGAACGGAATCATCATCCAGGCCCAACTCCCTAACAAATGCTTCAGTAGCCACTTTAACGAGAAATTCATCGTTGCCGCCATCGTTACGGGCTTGAGCATTGAGGGTCTTTTTTGAAGTTGAAGCCTGTAAGTCCGGTGTCTACAGAACCCAGGAAATTTAACTATAGGGTAGTAGGGAAAAAGGACTAACAGGTTTCACCTTTCACAAAATTATTTCAGACTGCAGTGGGAATACCCAAATTATTAATAATATAAAATTTTAGGTTTGGCTATCATCTTTTGATAATATTTTGTAACTATGAATTGTTATTTTAATATTAGTATCAATATACATACAATTGTTTAGAATAAGAATCAGCAGAAACAGTTCAAGTATGCTATTGATTGATTTTTTAATTTCTAAATTTCAAAAGTAAAATTTTCATATTATTTGCAGTTATGTTGTGTTTTTTGCTAACACATAGTTCAGCAATGCCTGTTGTGCTTTTTTTTTAAACTCGTAGAATTTCTCTGTAATGTGAGTCTTGTTTTAATGGCTCTAATTGATTGACTAATGTAAAAGGCATTCCATGTTACAATTAATTTCATAGACACCATTTTTTTCTACCGAATCTATTTTAATTTTGATATTCAATAATGTTCTTATATTTCTTTTATTAATTTGTATTAGTTGAAGATCTATTTTTGTCAATTTGTTACAGATTTTTTTATTTAGGTTATTTATAAAATTAATTAACCGGTATTTATGATTATTTTGCTCAAAATTAATACTGTTATGCAAAACAGACCAAGTTTTTATGCGACGTTACCACATCACGTCACCCGTTTAACTTTTTTAAATGAATTTTTGAATCATCCTGACATTAAAAAAATAAAACAGTGCATCGCCTATTGAAACTTCTAATGCGAATGTAACCTATATTTTTTTTTAATTAGACCGTAAGCTTTTCCATGCTTACCATATTCCCTACACTTCCAGATAACTGTTCGATATCTGAAACCATATCCGGTGCATTATTGTGCAATAAAATTTTCGTATCCAATGATGATTTCGTTCTTCTGTGCGTATGTACGTTCTGAGACGACGTTACTATTTCCGGATTTTGCCAATATAAGGATGCGTCTTGCAATGAAGGACCAATCACTTCCTCTTTATTGGATCTCGTTCTAGAAGGCGACGATATTAGAGAGCTTCTGCGCTTAGTTTTTGAACCCTTAAAAAATTCATTGTTAGTAGAATAAATAATTCAAAATGAGAGTAAACGGTACTCCAATGAGTTCTGAACTGAGACCAAGGTACTGATGCAAAGCAGTAAAAGTGACTCTTTGTAAGCGCACCATGATGACCTGAACAACTCTCACGAATATTTCGGGATATTCACTTAACACCTCTTGAAATGCAGCCATTGGAAGTTTTACTACAGTCGAATCTTCTATTGCTTTTGCAGATACTGTTTTATAAGGTTGAGGGTGGCCCTAGGTAATTAAGAAAAAACTATTTGAAGTATTTTAATTTGGCTAAATTTCACATTTCAACTTATGAACAACGGATTGTCATGTTTAGAATTTACTGAAGTTGTGTTACAAATTAAAGTCCTTATTTTAAAACGATCATGTGTGCATATGTACACCTTAAACAATTTTTAACCTTTACAGTTGTGATTTGTATCCTATAAATAAATTAATTATTATATCAATTTGTTTAATCACACGAACATAAACACAAAAGTAGTTTAGAATTCATGCATATACATGAACGTGAAAACTTTTGATACGTATTTTCGGTATTATAAAAGGAGGAAAATGAAATTTGTATCATTCGAAAGGTAGTGCGCAAAATCGAACCAAGGCTATTTTACATAATTGGGTTGGGACATGAAAATTTATTATTACATATTTAAAACCTACGCATGGGACTTTGTAAATAACTTTTTTCTTACGGTCCTACTCAAACTGCTAGAGAATTTATCCACTTATTCATTTTTAATGAAAAGCTGAAAAATAATTTTTTTAATGGTATACTTGTTTTTAGTGAATAATTTATAATATAAGTAGTTTCACAACAATTTTAATTATCATGTATCAACCATATTTTGTTGCATTTCTTTATTCCAATGTGTTTCGATGTTATAATATATTATGTATCCGAGCCGAAGGCGAGGCTGGCAAGCCCTTCCTTTCCGAGGGGCGTATACCATTTTTTGTCACATTTGTTCAAAAAGTTCGACCTTAAGTCGTCATTAGTTTATTTGATTGACGACTGTCAAACTAGTTAGCTAATAGAGTACCAGTTCAATTTTTAGATGTTAAATCAACTTTCTCTACAGATTACCCGGGAATCTCTACTTTTAGGCACCAGTAATCTGTAGTGAATAAAAAGTTAAATTCACTTTAATGTTTAATATTGAATATTAACCTCTTCAAGAACATTTCGTACTTATATATTGATAAATAATTTTTAGAGCTTGAATAGGTATTATATGTATACTAGGTTTTACCTGCGGTTTCACTCGCGTTGGTATCCTAAGTACGTGTCAAAGATCATCGACGACCACATAAAACTAATTTTTCTATTCCTCGGGAACAGTATTGTTACATAGTATCCATAAATTCTTATTTAGGTCACTGGTACAAAGTTGGTACATCTAAATTGTTTATTTAAAACTGCATGCTAACACCTACTTACTTACTGTGTTAGTAGGTCAATTAGCGACTGTTTTAATAATAATACGGCAGTTGAGTAGGGAGTCGCGAGTCGAATTCAAGATCAAGAAGATGCAGGGTGGTGAGACGGCTTCCCAATTATTTAATAAGGTACGCTAAAATTATTAATTAATTATAGTTAAATTGTTGACTAGTCATTCTAAATTGTTCACTTTCAATATTGGATTAAAGTAATTATTTCCAATTTCTAAATATATAAAATTTGTTGCTGTATAGTGTATAACATGATGGAATAGTTATATCTCAAAATAAACATATAAATTCGCTTCCTTATAACATGATGGAGGCGCAAATAGATAAATGGTTAATTCGCTTTCTTTATGACAGTATTATTTTCTGGATAAAATGTACCTTATGTCTTTTTGTACCCCTAACAATGTGTGTACAAAATTTTATGTTGATCGATTGAGTAGTTAAAGCACGAAATGGTAATAAACAAACAATCAAACAAACTCGCATTCGCATTTATAATATTAGTTAGGATGTTTCTGCAGAGATGTAACAAAAATTTTTTTTTGTCATACCTCGCCTTCGGCTCGGGTGGCAATTGGTAATAACCAACTTCCTTCCTACTACGGAAAAAAATTTAATTTTATGAGTATGTGCAAAATTCTAAAGCATGTGTTTTATCAGAAATTTACTGCGATCGTCCAAGTAGCGTTGCCCGACGTGACATAATTTTGAAGCTCTAGCAAAATGGTAGGCAGAAATATATAATAATTACAACTGTTTTTCATGTAAATAGAAAAATTTAACTTTTAGAATATTTTGAAAACACCGGCCAGATACCCTCGAAATATGGGAATAATCGTTGGAAACTCTAACGGATGACAAGCGCGCGTCATTTAACGTAGAATTCCTATATTGAATACCGTATTGATTTGGTTTTCAACTTACGATTACTTGTTCAATTTATTTTTAAACGTAACGATTTTATAATTAAAAATGTATAGACCTTGTGAAAAATTTATATTAATCTTATTTTTACGTTTATTTAATAAACACTTCAAAAGCATTATTCAAGTTGAAAAGGTTTTTGTTCTTATACACCTACTCAAGCTCTAAAAATTGAACTGGCAACATTGTTCTCTAGCATGGACGTTCAATCAAATAAACTAACGATCTAACAAGAAGTGACAAACTTTCTACACAAATGTGACAAGAACTAGTACGCGCACCTCGAAACCGAAGTGACTATCACAAACCACGTGCTCACCCTCAACTTCAGCTCTGGTGGCAACAAGTCTGTAACAGACCACTTCCTTTCCTTGGTACATAATACACCTTTCTTATAATATGAGACCTGTTTAAAAAATTATTATACTAGAAAATTCGTTACAATACTATAAAACAGCCGTACTTTTAAATTATTATAGTTGAAAAATATTTAACAATTTATTTAAAATAAAATTAAAAAAAAACACTCACCGTTAAAACATCAGTAAAACTAAGAAGCGATGTTACCGACTCTCCTTGTTTAACGATCTTAAGTGAAAGGGTTGAACCATCATTGGCTGTTATGAACACATTTAATTTACCACTTTGTACTACAAAAACATTTTCATCTGGATCGCCTGCAAAAAAAAAAAAAAACAATTAAACAAAAACTGGAAAACAGATTACTAAACATTACATTATGATAAAAAGGTAAAAACGGAATATATACGTTTAAATAAAATAAACAATAGGCAATTATAATCAAACGGTTTTGTGATTAGTGAAATTTTCAAGTGAGAAATACTTACTTTAAGGTACTTAATCCAAACTATCACCACAAGTTATAAAATAATTTCGCTAACAAGTACAGTATGTCTGCTTACGTTGGCAGCATATGGGATTTTTTTTTATTATTAATCTTACGAAAATAAGTTACTCTTTATAAAAAGTCCTGCATGGTCTAAAACACATAATGATATCATCAGACTTAATAATTTCTCAGTCGTGTACAAGTTTTGGTATAAAATATGAAATTTGTGTAACAGTAAAGTACCTTTATTATTGAAAATCGCAGAAAGCTTTTTAAAGAAAAGTTGTTGAGAACTAAAAAGTAGTTACAAATATGCAACCACATCTATCATTTGCTAAAATTATTAATTTATATATTTCTTGATCCTCTTGTTCTGTATGAGTGAATACTTATGCATGCACATTAGTAATACAATTCTGATCAAAGTTGCCATCTTAATGAGATGTTTGTCAATCTTTCAATGTTAAATAGTAGTTGCAAATATGCAACCATATCTATTGATTGCTAAAATTATGATTTTGTGTACTTCTTTATACTTTTGCCTCATATGAGTGAATNTCCAGAAATTTATGAAATATACTTCCTATCCATGTTGACCCAAGCAAGTTGCCAAATTTGTTGTCAATGTTTATTAATAATTTTACTACATCCATCTTTACACTTCTGATTACCTACATTTATTTAGATAAAAAAACGTAACTTGTATAAAGGCGGCGATTCATTGAGTAAAAGGCAGTTAGTTCTTCATTAGAAGCAATAATGCCGACTTTGGAAAAAAATTAATATTTTAAATGTTGATTATCTCCCACGTCTAAAATTATTTCAATTTTTCATACAAACTCAAAGTCGCCGGCATTATAACTTATTTTGATTTTAATATATTAGAATTAGATTAGATTACTGTTCGCAAATAGTTAAGGATATGCGAAGCTTAGCTTAGGATAGAAAAGAGTGGAGATGGAGTCCAACCAGTCTAAGGACTGACGATCTTAAGACGATAATATTTGACATACAGTCAAAGACTGGCAAATATGTCATTTACACGGCAGCTTTTATCAGAATCAAATTATTAATGTGCACATATAATTATTCGCTCATATGAGACAAGAGTATGAAAAAATATATAAAACAATTTTAGCAATTAACATATCTGGTTATATATGTGTAACTACTTTTTAATTCTCAACAACTTTTCTTTATAAAGGATTCTGCTATTTTCAAAAATAAAGGTACTTTACTGTTGCACAAATTTCATATTTTATACCAAAAATTATATGACTGACAAATTATTACGTCTAATCATATGATGATGTTTTTTAGGTCATGCAGAACTTTTTGTAAAGAGTAACTCAGTCCTAAGACTGGTTGGACACACACCTCCACTCTTTCCAATCCTTAGCTAATCTTCGCATTTCCCTGAAACTAGAACCCATATCCTTAACTATTTGCGAACAGTAATCTAATCTAGGTCTACCTCTACCCCTCCTAACTTCCGTTTATGCCTATAATGTCTCTGATTAGACCTTCATGCCTGAGAAGGTGTCCTACTAACCTATCTCGCCTATTTCTTATTGACTTCCATAGTTTCCCTTATGCTGCTAACTTAAGTAAACACACTGTATAACCTTTACGAATACAATCGATATACAATTTACAATGCTTTATGGATAATCTACATTTCACATAAAACAGTAAGCAAAATAAAATAATATATACAATAATCCCTTTTTAAATTTTATTTAATTTAGATTTAGTTGTTAAGTATATGCTTCGTTTTCCTAGTTTAACTTTCTCTCATACTGGAAAAGTTAGTCCTCAGAGAAAAAAGTTAATTATAAATATAATTGAGCAGCTTTTTATATTTTGTAAATTCTCATTGTAAGTTACTAAAAATAAAATTCGAATAATACCTATTCGGAATAAGAACGATCCAGCTGGAACATTCATAATTTCAGTGTGTTTACAAAGTTTGAGAAAAACGGGTTTATCAAAATGACCAAAGATACGAATGCTTTGCAGCATGTAAAGAGCATCTCGCGGCATACGCTCGTCACTTAAAAGATCTTCTTCCAAATATTCAGCGGGTGGCTCTAATACCTAAAATCATAACAAAAAATTAAATTTGGATCGTAAAATTAAAATTAGCAATGTTATAGAAAAATTAATTATTTATATAATCTTAACAAAGCAATTCTAATAAAAAGTTGTTTACTTGAAAAACACTATCTGTTAGAAGGAAATAAGAAAACACACCAAAATATAGCAAATGTTCACTATTCAGACAGACTTAATTTTCTTATTGATTATTATTTTTACTATACTGTAAGTAATTCAATGAATGTTAAATCATTACATTTTGTTAAGTCTTCAAATGACATTCTATCGCAACAGTTTACACGAGTCTCATAAAAAAACTAGTTCAGAATAACACAATTAATAATTTGCATAATAACAGATTAAGATTTTTTGCATATGTTATAATAAATAAATCAGAGTTGTTTTAGAATATAATTAAATTTTAGTATATACTATACTATTATTTTATGTCAAAGGTAAACTCATACGACATACTTTACAGATTTTTATAATTTGTTCTTAGTTGTCCACTTATTTCATCATTAAACAAATAAATGTGTTATTATGAATGACTTAAACTTAATTACTGACAAAATTTCCATGCACTTTATTTAAGTATCTAAGATTGCGGGTAGAGAATGCAGCAATAAAAAGTGAGTGAAAGATGGTCAATAACGTTAAACAATTCAAATACAAACAAAGCAAACTCATCTGGTAATTTTATATTTCCAGTACATGCTTTATAAGCACAGGCTGCGTTCTATTAAAAAAAGTTATTAGAACTAATATATTCAAAATCGTCAACTACATCTTATATTTTCTTTAAATTTGTTATTAGAAATTTTATTGTATTTAATTAATATAAATTCAATAAAAATTAAAATAAGAAGATAATTAGAAGTTCCTTTTCCAGATTTAAAAAATAATTAAAAGTGTTTTCTATTCAAAAGTAGCAAAAAACAGCGCCAAGCAAAAGAAATGCTACATTTATATATTTTAAAAAGACCATTTAACAACTTTGCACAATTTTTTTATATGTATAATAATATTACTTCAACCTTGAAGAAAATAAATAAACAATGAGTGAATGTTACAATTATCATTTTACCTTGAGTTGTTCAGATTCGTTTTCCTTTTTAAGTTGTAATAATCTTCTGGCAAAGCGCATTACCATCTTTCTTTTTTTACCCTGACCAGAATTTCTGACTTGACCAGAAATTGATTTAACTTTTCGTAGCATTTTGCGGCCATAAAATAAAGCTTTATCCCTTTTTCTAAATCTCACAGATTGAGATGCAGGAATATGAGTTGTTACCGCTAAAAATACATACATAATATGTGTATAATTTAGTTGATAGGAATTTTACCTTTCGCGTGAGATTTCCTAAGTATTAAAATACCCACAAACAAAGCAATCAAACAAATAAAAATGAGTATAATATAGAAGCTCTAAAAAAAGAAAACATTTAATACAGCGCATATTTTATATTTACAGCTTAAATAGTCATCTTACTCCATATGATTCCAGAAATTTATGAAATATACTTCCTATCCATGTTGACCCAAGCAAGTTGCCAAATTTGTTGTCAATGTTTATTAATAATTTTACTACATCCATCTTTACACTTCTGATTACCTACATTTATTTAGATAAAAAAACGTAACTTGTATAAAGGCGGCGATTCATTGAGTAAAAGGCAGTTAGTTCTTCATTACCATTTAAAAGACTTTATTCAGGCTTTACAGTTTTCTTACACTTCATTTGGCCTGTAAATATTTTTATATAAACCACTCACTGTCAATCATATTAAATCTTAATAGTAAAACATGTAATAATTAATGCTATTCTTTTTCTGCTGTAAAATAAAATAGGATGTAGTAATGATAATAAAAATAATAGATATACATATTTTTAGTATAATAAACTTAAAAAAAATTGTAATTACTTATCTAAAGAATTAAATGTATATTGATTTTATTATTATCAAGCACATTATTTCTTAGAATAAATATCGAGTAAAAGTAAAATTGAATATTTAATGTGGATAAAATTAAATTTTATAATTGAGGGTACGCATGTATCTATTTTCGTCCTGAAATAATTCTGTTTTAATATAGAAAACAAAAAAGAGAATACACTGCAATGTTATAGTTGCTTCTCTCTGTTTACCTGTTTCCAGGTCTGATAATTCCCATCCAAATAACCACTACCTTAGC